CCTACACTTTTGTTGATTAGCAGGATATGAAAAGAAAAAAAAAAGAATCTGACAACAGAACTTAGTCAAATTCTCAACACTGTGTTTCTAAATTCAAGTGCTTTATTATATATGTCCATGTTCTGATGTTTCCTCAGTGGGAAGCTGGAAATGTATAATTTTTCTGTTGTTTTTGAATGCATTAAATAGATTTGTCATCTATAGTACTAAGATACTTGCTCAGCTGTAATGTATGAAAAATGAAAAATAAGCAAGTGGGAAGAGTTTATTTATCTCTTTATGACACATTATTTTTCCAAAACAAGACCACTTTATAACAAAACTCACTATTAGTTTGTGCCTAATAGAAGGATGGACACAAAGTGTTTTTGATTTAGCTGTAGATAAAAAAAAAAATTTTTTTGATGATAATAATATGCAGAAATTGTCATATTTGGGACAATTTTCAAGAGTCTGTAGATGTAATATTAGTTTAAACAAATTTTTGTGCTGGCAATTTATTGGAGAAAGAGCCATGATCCAATAAAGATCAGGGTAGAGTGAAGTCTTTGACCCTAAATAGGCAGAAGTATTTGACAAAATATGATCAAATAGATGTTGTTATATACCATCCCAATCATTAAGATTAGAGAAACTTATCTTAGCTTGTAAAAAGGCCATCACTCTTTAGAAAGTGATTCTCTGAATACAAAATGTTTCAAGATAAACTAGGAGCAGGACTGATCAGAAACTAGCAAAATGAATACAGTGTCACATAACAGTTAATATATAACTTGAGTTGCCATACAGTATTAGGTTAACCAGCTTAATATGTAAGTAAATGTGTCTTGTAATGATTAAATGTTCTGATAATTGCTCCTCAAGGCTTCACAGCCAGCAGTAAACTAGCTTGGCTCCATTCCCCAAAAATTTTAATTATGTCTTTGTATTAATGTTTTTGTCCCTGGCTTAACCAAAGGTTTGGTTTGCATAATTCAGATATACTTTTTAGATATATTTGTGAGTAGAATAGCTTTGGGCAGACAGTCAGATGCACAGCTGGTTATTTGTTTTCACAACTTCCATCACATCCATTGAGAAATAGCGCTTCAACTTGAACAAAATTAAGCAATGTCTCAGCGTTTCTTTTGATCTTCTAAATTAGGTTATATCATCCACAAATTGTTTAGATGTATTTTTATGTGTAATTGTTTTTACAGAATTAAAAATATGCTACCATCATTAAACACAAATAATTTTTTGGTGAAAAAACAAGAAACGGAAAATACTCTCATAAACCAGGGGAAGAAGTATTTGTATTTTTGTACATTTTATGCACTTACAGATAAATCTGTAAATCAAGAACTAAACGAACTAAACGTATAAGGTAAATACGTCGCATAAAGTAAACATACATAGTCTTTTTCTTTACTATTTGATATCAAATCAAACTAAACTTCTTTTTCAAGAGATTCTTAGATTATTTCTATTTGCTAAGTGTAAGTTTTTTGTTACTTTTTTCAGATTCGGACGGTCCCATTCCCCCATCGTTTTTCCCCTAATACGGTTGATTTTAATCTTAAAAATATACTTAATCTCAAGGTCGAAGATGGCCCGGACCAATCACTATAAATTTAAATTAACTCCCGGTTTTGAACTATCTATTTATTTATTTATTTATTTATTTATTTATTAAGTCATACATCTACCGTAGCTATATCAGTAGAATTGAACCCCCCCCCCCCCCCCAAAACACAATAATAAAAACAATCTTACACAGAAGGGAAATTTTTATAAAAAAACA